GCCGTCCCTGCAGGCACCGTCCCCTGGCCACTGCTTGGAGCAGGGCCACCACCACACAGCCCCCCACAGCCACCCCAGTCCTAGCTCCTTTGCCCTGCCATCCCCCCTGGGCAGCTCTCTCGAGGCTGGCACAGCCAAGGAGGCTCTGGTCTGTAAATCCAGGGTGCTCAATCACGTGCACAGCAGACTCTTGGGGCCAGTGATGCTTCTTGAGCACCACTTTGTAAAGGAACGGCCACATGCGGAAAGCACCAAGCAGGGAAACTAAACCCCTCAGGGGAATCTGCATGGCTGCACCCAGAGCTGTATTTGCTAATGCTTCTTTTAAACCTAGGTATTTCTGGAAAGGCGAACTGGAAGAAACCACTGAAATACTGCTGGTAAGTGACAATTCCCCACATCACGAAAATCCCTGCCCCAGACAGCCCCAGCCAAAAGGGGCTGCAGGGTGGTTTGGGGAGGGTGGCACCAACCTGCTCGAGATTTGGGACAGTACCCAGGGACCCCGAGCACCCGCCTGCGGGCATGGCAGTGGTGGCTGGGGGTGGTAGCCCTGCTCGGCCCCTCATCCTGCCACCATAGGGGACATTCCCCGGGGAAAGAGCCGAGGAAGGGCTCCTGTCGCACCGCTGGGCACCAGCCGTGCTGGATGGGTGCAGTGGAACTGTGCGTGCAGGACTGCTCCGTCTCCTTTACTTCTCCTCTGGTTTTTGTTTTGTTTTGTTCTTTTACCCTCCAGTTAGTGAAAACAAGGACATCCAAAATAGGCGAATTGTCCAACTACGTCAGGTGAGGCTTTGGCTCCGTGGGAGCACTGGGTTTCCTATCCAAGGTATGCTGCCATATCATGCTCAGGCTTTGGGAGTCAGGTTCCTTGAGCCCTTTCCCACCCAGGGTGGGTTTAAGTGCTCCTGATGTACCTTCTGAGCCAGAAAAAAACAGAGATGGCATCAGCAAAATAAAAGGTTGGTGGGAATATAAACCGTTGGGCTTCAACCAGCCCCTCCGTACTGGGTACAAGGCGGGATTCTCCTTCTCCTAACACAGGTTATTCCCTGGCTGCCTCCTGGCAGGGCTTCCTGCATTTCCCAAGCACTGAGTGGTGAGTGCAGCCAGCTTTGGGCCAGGGCCCCTGGCAGTCAGCTGCTGGCTGTGGTAAACCCCAAACTCAAAGCAAAATTCTCACATGGCAAAAAGAAGATGCGAGTGCTTTGAAGTCAGTGGAGAGTGTGTGGCAGGGCTGGTGCACACCGCTGGGAGCGGAGAACTCTGCTTCCTGCGCCTGCGAGCGGGAGCGGGGCTGTTCTGCTGCGGGGCTGTCAGTGACACTGTTCCTCTGCGTCTGTTTCCACTTTAGATCCATCCATCCCTTTGAAATTCCTGAAATCATCAGCCTGCCTATTGACCAAGGAAACCCTCTCTACCTCAAATGGATAGAGGAAAGTGTCCCACGGGACTAACCGAATAGCGCAGAAAGCACCTCGCTTTTGGGGAGACCAGGTGAAACGTGCTGAGCTGCACTGGTCTCCCTGTGCAGGCAGGAGTTACGCACACGCAGGGAGGCAGCTTATATCTTCACGTGTTTGCTATAACACAGAAGTTTGGGATTGGGAAATTTCGTTTACACTCCAAACATCCCCTCCTCAGCCTGACCCTGTGCTCCAGGGAGCACGGAGCAGCCCGGAGACGGCGGAGGCCAAAGTGGAGAAGGGCTATGTGCACCAAGGGCTGTTGCAGCATTGCAGATGAGGATACACAGAGACGCTCATGTCAGGACACTGCAGCATTTGGGGGCTGCCTCAGGCCCCCAGCAGCAAGTGCCAGCTTGTAGCCGTGGCCTGGCAGTGCCCTGCAGCCCCTCCAGCACCGTGTGTCCCCACAGCCAGCGCCTGAAACCCTGCCTGGCCCCCCTGCTCCCCCGCAGCGGCTGTTGCAGCATCCTGCCTGGCTCTGCCTCCTGCTTCCCTAGCCCGGAGGCAGCAGGATGTGGCCGGGCACCCTGCGATGCGCTGGCTCACGCCCTCTCCTGCTGTCATGCAACATGCTGGTTCGAGTCATACAAAATCCAAGGAAACGGCAAACTTGAGCAGACGCCACAAGCATTTCGCAGGAGCCGCAAGCAGCGCATGCACTGATCCTGCCAAGCTGGGGAGAGCTGGTCTGAGCTGGGCAATATCCACTGCCAGTCCAGGGAAACCACGTGCCAGCAGGACCAGGACATCGCCTGGCTTCGGGGCAGCACAGCCCCAGCCCTGCATCCCCTACCCACACCTGAACGGTGGCTTTCTACCTGGGTCAAGTTTAACCTTGTAAAAAGATGCTCATGTTAATAGTTTAATGGGATGTAACTTACGGAACGATACCAAGTTATTTATGTGACTGGGAAGGGAATAAACAGGAGCGTTTCTTACCTGGGCAGGCTCACGTGTTGTGGCAGTTTGCGGGCGCAGCGTCTGCAGTGAGCTGGGCAGGAGGAAGGGCCCGTTGTGTGTTTGCAGCGACTCTCTCCAGCCCGATGCCGAGCGATGCTCCGCTGGCTCTGACCTGCTCGTCTCGGGCTCGTGGAGAAGCAGCGCAAGGTGCTTTGCAGGTATTGAGAGCTGTGCCCGCAGGCTTGCGTGGCCCCATCAGAGGTAGCGTGGGGAAGGCTCACACGTGCAGGAAAGAGAAGAGAAGAGGGAAAATGGTCTGGGCTCTGAGAGCAGGAAACTTTTCAGTGGTAAATACGAAGAAGCAGGATCCCAGCTGGGCACCTTGTCTGGCAAAAAGGAACAAAGCACATGAAGCAGGCACCAGCACCCCCAGGCCAGGCCTGCACTGCAGCCAAAGCTAAGCTTTGTTTAGCCCTGTCAGGGCTACGTTGTGCAACGTGCACGTTTTAGGCTAAGACTAATTGGGTGGGGGCCATTTGGGACCGGTCAGTAGGACTGCGAGTGAAGGCAGCCCCTCTCTACAAGACCCATCACTGCAAGGGGCGTCCCTGACCCCCGCCCAGTCGCCCCTTCACATCCTTCTGCCGTTCCCGTGCTTCGCGGCAGCATCTCTCCGGCCGAGGGCACACCTCACCCTGGCATGGAGCACGACCCAGCAGCACCAGCTGCATCGTGGCGGGCACCAGGTGCCTGCCCAGGACCACACGCTGACCCCCAGTGCCCAGACTCAATAATCCTGATACTACAAAGAACCGGTGATGTTAAAAAAAAAAAAAAAAAAAAAGACTTTTTAATCGTACATCAGACATATTAATTACAACTTGGGTATAACAAGAGTTGGTTATTACAAGCAGCAACCTGAACTCATAAATCTTTAGAAGGTGCACAGAGTCATTATAATATCTATTACAGCTAATGCAAAATATACTCCGCAACAAAAATATTTTTAAAGGCTCCACATTCAATTCTCTGCAACAGGCCAGGAGGAGAGGAGGAGAAGAGAGGGAGAGAAGAACCAGGGCCACATGTTGTGGGTGCTCCCGTGAGTGCAATGTCCATTGGCGCATCCTGCAGGAATAACCCTGCTCGGCCTCGGCACGGCTCCTGGCAGCCCCCACCAGCCCCCCCAGGCAGCAACTCGGACAATAACGAGGACTTCATAGGCCCTCGTGAAAGGGAAATACTTTAAGCGATCCTTTGGTGACAAGCCAAGGCAGGAGGGGGAGTGACCCAGCTGGCTGCAGGAGCTGCACCCCTCCCTGCCAGGGATGGGGGGTCCCAGCAGCACGTCTCCCAAAATGACGGGGCCCCTCTGGAGATGCTCCCCTCCGGATGAGCTGAGATGCAGACCCTGAGGGTGCCAAGCACCTCTCCCCAAGGCACGTGTGACCCTTCTCGGCTCAAACCATCTCATGGTTGGAGCTGGACGGAGCCTCCTCTCCCAGACCTTGCCCCGCACAAGCAGCTAACAGCTTCTCCACCGAGCACAACGCTGGGTGCACGACACCAGGCAACTCGTCAGAAAGGAGTTAAAATGCTTTTACCTGCCGTGCCGAATATTCAGGCTCCTAGCACAGGCACCGAAGCAGCTCGCGCCTCGCCCAAGCCGCACGGGCACCTCCTGGGGCTGCAGAGAAGCTGCTGCTCTGCACCGCAGCCCCGCGCCAGGCATCGTCATCTCGCAGCTGCACAAAGGCCTGGTGCCTGCTAGATGGATTAAGACAAACTGGCAAACCCCCCCCCCCTTCATGGGTGTCCCACTACGTTATTTCAGCAGTAGCTGAAGCAAAGGTTTATTTTCAAGGACCACGCTTTGGCCTCTGGTTTGCAAATGTCACCTGCTGCCTCGTGCCGATTACACCGACGAATTTTCTTAAGTACTTTTTCAATAAAACAGCCTTTTCAATTCACCCTCCGGTCAGCAGATCCCACAAGCACGCCTATGAACAACGATGGGGCTATAGGGACGGGGTGTGCTGATAGAGCAGGACCACGCAGCCCCCCCAGCATCGCCCACCCTCTGTCCCCACAGGACAGCCACGGCAGTGATGGGGCAGGGACAAGGACAACATTAAATATATATATCTCTCTCTTAGAAAAAAAATCTAACAAATATGTCTGATGATATTAGAATTTTTTTTTTAAAAAGACAACTGCTTTGCTCCTGAACAACCCGGCAGTATTGCTTTAGTTAAAGAAGGGGGCTGCTCCTTCTCTTCTGCAGACAAACCGACCCCAGGCGCTCACAAACATCGACACTATGCCAGTAACAGAAAGTGTGGCCGCTCTCCAGCAAGGCACAGCCACGAGGCTACAGGGATGGCCGCGGGGACCCTGGTGCAACCCCTTCCCCATGCCCCCACTGTCCTCTTCAGCCTTTTTTGGTTTGTCTGCTCATTTGGCACGTTCAGGACGAGGTTTCCTGCTGGAATAAAGGCCTCGGGCTCCAGTCTGTGAAATGCCCGCGGTGGTTTTAAGGCAAGGGCGTATCTTTTGGCTGATCTCTTCCAAGACCGTGATTGTCAGAAGAACAGGGAAACGAAGCTGGTGCATCATCACACGCCGTCCGGGTCGTGGGACGAGAACAACCACATACGTCTGCCCCGCAGCCATGAAAGCCCCAACACGTGGGCTGTTTACAGGGCGTTTTCCCCTCATATAAAACAAACCACATTCCTTTAGTGAATGGATTTATGATGAGGAGGAAAACCCCGTACACTGGCTCTGGCAAGAGTCGCCCATCGTTTCCTATGGGCACAGGGACGGGCTGTGAAAGCACGGGTGAGGGAGGTGCTTTTTGCTTTAGCAGCAGGACCCCCTCGAGTCTGCTCTGTAAGGCTTGGACGTGGGGATAAGTCAGGGTGCGCCAGGCACCGGCACGACGTCCGTCTGTGTGAGCAGGTTATGGGGTGCCCCCCGAAGGGGCTTCCCCAGGGGGTGCCCAGCCATGCCGGGGGGATCCTTCTGCCTCCGAGACACAGCCGCCAGCCTGGGGGAAAGGCCAGACCCACTCGCTGCTCTTACCACCACCGTGATGGTGCCTCAGGCTCGGCCAAAGGCTCCATCAGGAAAGCGCAGCTGGGCCACGCTCTTTGCATATACATGGCCAATAAAATAACAATTGTTAAAATAAAAAAAATACAGCGGCAAGGCTGCGGGTTTCACCCCCGGGCAGCAGCACTGATGGCACCG